TTTGCCTAGGATTGCTTCCCAGCCCAGCTCACAGGCCGCAGTCTTCTGTGGGGCTTTGGGAGAGGCTGTGTCCGTAGAGGCACCTGCACGGCACTGGTTTCTGCTGGACAGCGTCTCCCTCTGCCCAGCAGAGCTCTGGGCCTCGCGCCCCCCCCTCCAGGCCTCGCGACTCCCCAGCCCGAAGCACAGCCTGCCCTGGGAACCTTCCTTTGGGGCACGGCACAGGTGGCTAGGCAGCTTCTTTGGTTAAAAAAAGTACACTTCCATGTTGGGATTAACCTAGAGTGAGTTAAGAGCTCAGTGGAAAGCTTCCAGAAAAGGTCCTGGAGGCAGCCAACGTGCTTAATATGGATAAAGGGAACAAAAGCAAATTTGGAGCTGAGGCACTTTTCAATTTAGGGTGGATAGGCTGAGATCAAAAAGGTCCTTTAGCCAGAAAAGGAGTTTATTGTATTCACTGTTCAGTAAAAAGAGGTTAATTAGCAAAAACTCTGATTCTGAAATAGTCCCCAATGAGAGTTAAGAGCTAAAAAGATTTAAGTCAGTTGGAGAGTTTTCAACTCCCAAATGCCTCTGAAACACTGTCCACATTTAAGGCTACAGGGGACTGCGAGGAGGCCTGGATGGAAGTACTAGGCTTGGGAAGAAGCTAGCTGAGGGCTCATTTTTGGTGGCAGGCCACCTGATGACAGCAGAGATCTGTGACCTGGGAAGATCACGAGAAGCCCTGCAAATCCCCTGCCTCCTGCTGAGCCCTGGGGAAACCACAGCTCCCAGGGCCAAGGGATATTGTTGCCAGGACCACAGCTCAGCCCCGGTGAGCCGTAGCGGAGATTCACACCCTTTGCAGGGGGTTTGGGCAAGGCACTTGCCATTCATTTGCCACATGTGATTCCAGTTAGAATAAGGTGCAGGTTCCACAGCTGAGGGAAGTGGTTAGGGAGCTGTGGGTTTTAGGTATCTGCAAATGCTGATATTCCAGCAAGAACTTGGCTCTTGATATCTATCAGCAAGGGAAGGAAACTCTAAAGGACATTAAAGCTGTCACACTGATAGGGATGAAGCAGCCTGGGAAGCGCTCTTGGAAACGCACAAGTGAAATCCAAAACAAATAAAGACTGCAAAGCACTGTGCCAGCAGAAGCTGTACTTTCTCATCATTGACTTTGTCTAAGCTGAACTAGAGAGCCAATTCTGAAAAGCTATGCAGAACAACAGTTTTCTCTTAGTAGCTAACACATTTGGGCTTATCTTCTCATGTGCAATACAGGGCACTGCCTTACAGCACAAGAATTTAAGATGCACTATACAAAACTGTGGAGCCATTAAAAAACCACAGGCCCGGCATGAGGTATCAGAAAGGTTGGAGAACCCATCCTTTGAAAATTAGGTTCCTTTATGAGCACCCAAAATGAAAGTAGCGTGAAATTTGAAAAGTAGCATGCTGAGGTTTTACATACTTTGGATGATATGGCCCCAAGTCACATCGAAAAAGGAGGGTCCCTGTAGCTGAAAAATGTTTGAGACAGAAAAACTCATTTGATACCAGAAAAACACACTACATCCCATTTTCAAAGTCTCAACCAAAATAAAGGGCGGTTGTGTTTTTGAAGCATGGGAATTCAGTTATCTTTGTTTGACTGCATCTCTTAGTTTCAACACATGCTGTCAGGAGAACTATTGAACTATAACAAGGAATACTTACTCTTCAAGTGATCAAGCCATAAGGCCTTGGCAAGTGCTTAAAACAGTGTTTTCTCAAATGATCTCATGGCAGAAAATAACTGCATTTAAGAGGCAACTATTTGCACTTCTGTAAGGATTTTTGTTGTTGATGTTCATTAATCATCATTATACCTACTTACAGTGTATCAGCATGCAAAATGAAAGTACTTTCATCAGCTTTACAGACCAAAAACAGATCCCAGAATGGCCTTCATTATTGTCCAGAAGGGATCAACGCTTCTGAGGTTTATCACTGGAGACCACCAGTATCAAAGACCCAAGAGAGAAACGGTGAACCAACAAGTAACCTCCCCATATTGGTAAGACTGGTATCTTAGGAGATACATGAATATAGTTTTAGCAAGTGACTATCTGATAGCTCAAGGATAAATGTATTGCAATGTCACCTTCACCGCGACTTCAGCTTGACAGACATCAATACCATGTCACTTGTACTCAGATAGCATCAGCGACCAGGTTCTAGTTGCCGATGAACACCAGGCAAAACAGCAATTACAAAGCGTCATAAAGAACTATTAGCTATCCAACACAAAGACAGGAGGAAATTGCCGTAATTCAGGGTAAGCCTCCGACCTTGGTGCTTCGTCTACAACAGGAGTCAAATATCTGCACAAGCTCCCTGCCAGGCGATACCGCTTGTGGTCCCCAACGCAGCAGAGTGAAGCAAGAGGCATGTTTTTAGACGCCAAGCGCGTGCATCATCGGCCTGTCTCCTGGAGGAACCTGTTTCACTTCACGCACTCCTACCTCCCCACTCAAAATCCACCCTGAGATTTGGGCATGGTGACGCTGCCTGTGTTCACGGCAGCCAGCAGAACTTTGCTCACCGTAAGTGGTGGGGAAGGCTCCCCCTGGATTTCAGCCGCACGTGTAGAAAGGTACTTGCCACCAGCCCGCGCATCATTGGTAAGAATAGAACAGGAGGTCATCCTCTGCTTTTAAGACATTGACCAAGATAGGTTTGGGGAAATAAGGCAGCTCATCAAATAACATAACATCATCAAGTATTTCACTCAGCGAGCAATTTATGCTGGGAATTGTTATTGATATTCTGTCTCTAATTTAGCCAGCTGATGCTAACATCTAAAAAGATGGGGAGGTTGGGAGCGTTTTCACTGCGATAAATAAAGAAGTTATTTATTACTGTTGTTTTAGGAACAGGCAATTTATTTATTGTTATTAGGAACAATGTTACGGCGCTTTTTTTTTCTTTTTCCTGAGCAGGGTATGCTAGATAAATTAATTGCGATTAAGAGTAGATCATACTTTTTTTTGTTTTACTAGAAAATCACTGTGGGCTAAAAGCAGTCAATGCACAGCGAATAAATTCTGTAAACTATTATTATAGTATCCCACAGTTTAATATTGGTAATAACAAATATAATTTGAAATAAATGGGAACCTGCTTTCTCATCCATGTCCACACAGCAAATAGTGCGGGTGGAACGTATTACAGTGACAGAGTGCTGCACTAAATCTGATTACGGAAAATGGTTTGTGGATGTATACTGATAATAGGAAAAATACAGTAAGTTGCTAGAAAACGTCTCTGATAAAAATGATGAACCAGACCTTCCATTTGTTTCCAAAGTGCTCTTGTTTAAAATCACATATTTATCTCAATATTCAGCAACATTTTCTCAATGAAAAGTTCACGCCACAATAAACCCCTCCATTCCAGGATCACTGTCAGTCCTTGTTATTTATTTATACTATAATATTTTCCATAAGCTTCCGCCACAGACCCAGACTCTGCTGTACTATCTACTGCTTTGCTGCAGACCAAGAAGACACTTGCAGCTCCATTTCGAAGGGACCGACCACACACGCCACTGACTGGAACACATCACCTCTGAGATCCCAAGCTAACATGCGCCCTGCAGCAGCAGCATAAACTAGCTCCTCCGGTGAGGTGTTTCTAGTTCATGGCCACAGCAAAGGCTGCTTGAGAGTGCTTGCCTTGGTGTCCTAGTAACATAGGATTGTTCAATACAAATAATTTACCCAAATGACAGAATATCCTACTGCTTTGCTAACAAATTATTCACTTAAAAAAAGATCACAGTGTCATTACCAACAGTCAGAATAATTTTGGAAATAATTCAGAACAGGAGTTGCAGAGCACAACTACAATGCCAGATCGTTCATCACGTTGTGTGTCCGACCACCTAGATCGAGTAATGTCACAGGTAACCCCCCCATAGCTTTCAGACTGACTGACGCACTGGCTCTGAATATCCTCATACGCACAGAGCAAGGCACCTACAGCACGCTCCTCTATTGAGAGCCTTCTTGAAAACAAATGTTCACTCACAGGAATGACCACAGGAAGTCGTTAACAGAACTGAATCAATGCAACAAACCTTTCTGCGTATTTCTGTAGGATCTTCACAACACACCTCCTGTGCAATCTTTGTAAGCAAGAAATGCTGCTGCAAGGCAGAGAGCAATGCTAGTACCAACACCAGTGGTCAGTGGTGACACCTACTGCGGTGAAGCATCTCACTTAGGTAAAGAATGGGACAGACTAGCTGTCATGAGCTGGCCGTTGCTGGAGTCAGCGGGGCTGGTGTTTACATACACGTGTCTTTGCAGATGGACCTGTAACAACATGCCTCATAAATACTCTCATTATTACACTCCCAAGCAGTGAGTTTTTATGTTGCATAAGAACCGTATCTGCAAGACAGACTTAGAAACTACAGAGTACTTCAATATGTACATGATTAGTGACATGATGCAAAGAAACTAGAATGGGTGAACGGCAAGATGTTTAGTTCAATAAACATCCCCAAAGTCTAGAAGTGTTCATCCCAGCCGCCTCTGTGTGTAAAACCAGGGGCCAAATCTTGTTCTGAGTGCCTGGGGAAGACTTCTCACCCTTTCTGATCAGGTCAGAAACACCTCAAAACACTCCCCCACATGAAAATAAAATAGAAATACCATTCAATAGCCCCAGTAGAGAATTGCTTTTATATCAACTCTCAGCTACCCCAGATATCAGGGCATAAAACAATTGGCTCCCAAAAAGCCAGCCACGTGACACCTGGGGACTGTGCGGCCCCAAAACCCTCCCCTCCGTCAGCAGAGGGCCGGCCATGCACACTCGTCACGGTGTCACCGCTGAGAACGGCCGAGACGCACCAAGCTGCCAGGAACTCATCACAGCGGCCCGCAGGAACCCAGCACCCCTGGGGGGGGGGGCCACCCTCACCCCCACAGCATGCACCGACGGCACAGATGGATGGACAGTACCTGACGTGTCTCCCAATATCCTGGGTGGGCGGGCTTCCTTGCCATTTCCGCTGTGGCCAGCGCAGGGCTCGGCTGTGGTCCTGCGGCCGGGGG